CAGGAGAAGGAGAAGGAAGGAAGATGAAGACAGGAGAAGGAGAAGTAGGCGATATGCTGACTCTGTAAACCGCTTAGAGAGGGCTGAAAGCCCTATGAAGCGGTATATAAGTCTAACTGCTATTGCTATTGCTATTGCTCTCCCTCTTGCTGCTTTCCCAGCCAGCTGCCCAGCTAAGCAGGGCAAGCAGGACCCGGGCTGCAGCCGGCGGGGAGGGGACGGTAATGCTCCATCCCGCAGGGACAGTGATGGTAAGCGGTAAAGGAAGTGAGCCCCGTCCCATGGGACGGCCCGCCTCCCCCGCTGCTGCACCCTCGACTTCCACGCAGAGCCTCTACCGGCGGGGCTCCTCCCATTTTGCCCCATGCATGCCCCCCTCCCCACCGCCACTGCTTCTACAGTGCCGAATGGTCCGTGTCCCTCACCCCCTACACACACACACACACACACACAAACACACACCACGCTTGCTGCAGCGCTTACTGCTCTTTGAGAGCCGCTTTGCAAAATGTGAGAAAAATCCTCATTTTCCAAGGCAGATCTCAAAGAGAAGGAAGCGGGTGCGGTGCTTCTTTGCAATAGCCGAGGCCAGAACTGTGTTTAACCACCTCCCCCTCCAGCCTCCGCTCCTCTGAAGAAGCACCATGCTCGCTTCCTTCTCTTTGAAAGCCGCCTGACATTTTTCAAGGCGGCTCTCAAAGAGAAGGAAGCAGGCGTAGCACTTCTTCAGAGGAAGCGAGACTGGAGCGGGGTTCAACATGGCTCTAGTCTCGGCTCCTCTGAAGAAGTGCCGCACCCGCTTCCTTCTCTTTGAGAGCCGCCTTGAAAAATGGGGAATTTTCGGACATTTTGCAAGGCAGAGAAGGAACCGACCACTGGTGCTACTCTGGGAATTTGGCCTGTGGAGCCCGGCACTCCAGGGGGAAGGAGACTTGGCCATGGCCTGCTCCCCGTGTGAGGGGTTGCCCCCCTGGCAGCAGCTTCTGCCCCTTGCTCCACTTCTTCATTGGCGGTAAGCGGCGCCACAGCTGAGGAGCAGGCAGGAGGCTGGGTGGGAACCAATGGGCTGCTTCCTGCGGAGCCATCACAAAAGGCATGTGGACCCAGGTGGAAGGCAGCCTTTTCTGCAGCATCCCCCTCCCCTCTTTGGATCGCCCTGCAGTGGGGGAGTAGGTGTATATAGCAATAGCAGTAGACTTATATACCGCTTCATAGGCCTTTCAGCCCTCTCTAAGCGGTTTACAGAGAGTCAGCATATTGCCCCCAACAAT